TTATTGGTGTTGTGGGGTTGAAAAGGGACATAGGCATGATACTCCCTGTGTGCCTGGGTCAGCAGGATGCTTTTGTTCCCGTATGAAGTAGCAACCCAATAACACCGATGTCTATATTTTAAAATTTATCATGGATTATCATTAAGAAGTAATATTATGACAATAATTGTAAAACCTTTGGACTCTACAAAGAAAAAAAATGATGGTCTGACCCTTGTAAAGATGGCATTGCTCATTAATGCCATTAGGTCATCCATTTTGTAAGTCTGCTATGGTAAGTATACTTTCTCTCAAATATAAGAAAGTTATATTTTCCATAAATGATGGCCTATTTTGACTATCAAATTCCTTTTCAGATACAGATTAAGACATTGGTAATTCTATTTGTTTATCCATTTGGGCACAGAAATTCAATCTCAGATTTCTCAAATATTAAGATAGAAAAAATTTTATTACAGCATAGATCATATGAAAAATTTTATCTGTCATCAACTTTGGCAGTAAACTATCCATTGTACTATCCATAAAACAGTTTATCATCCAACAAATCTAAAATATAGTCAATGTATAACAGTTCTGTAGGCATGGATTTCTTTTTATAAATCATCGGTATTAGAAGGAAACAAGAAAAACTCCTTAAAAAGAACTACTTAAGCAGAGCCTTAAGTGGAACACATTAATACACTGTATCATTATATTTAAGTATATTTATCAAATTATATCAATTGTATGGACTTTTGGGCAATTGTAGAAGTCAATATTAAATGATTCTATTATTTCTGCATGCTTTACTCATCTTTTAATTTTATTTACATGTGTTCTTGTGGTATTTGGAAAAAGTCAATGCTAACTGAACCCACACCAGGCAAGGCTTACACTTAGTCTTAGGCAAAAAGTTATTATAATATAATAATCTGTTCTAAGGTGGGTGTTGAACAATGAGGACACTTGGACACAAACAGGGAAGCATCACACACTGGGGTCCATTGCGGGAGGCTATGGGAGGTATAGTAAGGGTGAGGGTGGGGGAAGGATAATGTGGGGAGAAATGTCAGGTAGGTGATGGAGGGATCATGGCAACAAACCACCTTGCTGTGAATGTACCTATGCAGCAATCTTGCATGATCCACACATGTACTCCAGAATCTAAAGTACAATAAATTAAAAAAATAATAATAATCTGTTCTAGAACGTCTGTTCCTAGGTAGAAAGGAAAGCTTTAATCAGATCAACTCTCCCATGAGTGACAAGGCAAAAGCTGAATAAAATATGACATTACAGAACAAAACACTATTTGAAGGCACCCAAGAGCAACCAAGTCAATTAGATTTGAGTGACCAATCATAGAGAGGTCAATACACAGGGCAGCCTCCCATGATGAAGAAGTACTCAGTGCAAAATGTCAATAGTGCTGAGGTTAAAAACCCCAGATGTAGAAAAAACTGGAGAATTTCCAAACATATAACATTATAAAGGCACAGTAAAAACAAGGTAGCATTATACAAAGTTTAGTATAAAGTATTAAGGCAATGTGGTATTACACAAGAACAGAAAAATTAACTGATAAAATAGAGTCCAGAAACTATGTGCATACACAGACCAACTGATATATGACAAGGGAAGAACTGCTATGAGAAAAGAATGGTCTTTCCAACAAACATTTCTATGACCAGTTGGTTATCTATATGACAAAGAAGAATCTTGACCCTGTCTTATACCATACACAAAATCAATTGTAAGTAGATTGGAAGCATCTACGCGGTAACATAGAAAGTATATCTACAAGAACTCTGGGTAGAAAAAGCTTTGTAAAACAGGATTTAAATCACTGATGACAAAGGAAAAAGATTGATAAATTGGGCTTCATTAAAAATAAGAAATTATTTTAATCAAAATATGTCATTAAGAGAATAGAACAGTGAGTGGGATAAGACATTTTCAACATAATATATCATATAAAAAACTCATATTCAGAGTACATAAAGAACATTCACAAAAAAAGTTAGAAGATAGATGACCTCATTTAAAATACAGCAATATACTTAATCAGCACAAAAAAACATGAAAATGTGCTTAACATCATTAGTTATCAAGGAGTGTAAAATTAAGTCTGTAATGAGTTATGTCTGCATCAGAATGTCTGACATTGAAAGAACGCCTGTCAATAACAAGTACTGGGGAAGATACTGAGCGACTAAACTTGCATACACTACTACTGGGATTGTATATTGGCCCAAACAACTTCAGAAAACTTGTTGGCAGTTATCTTCTAAAGCTGAACACATGGATATTATGTGACTCATCGGTTCTACTTCTAGTTATATATTCAATAGAAATGTACAGAGTCATGCACAGAAAGATATAAGATGTTTTTGACATCTTTATGCATAATAGCTAAAAATTAGAAACCAATAGTGGTGGAGTCATACAATGGAATGTATGAATGATACAGACATGGAATTAATGAACTATTGATTTACTCACCAACATTGTTGACTCTCACAAAATGATGTTTAAAGAAAGAAGTCAGATACAGGGTACATACTTATGAATCCAGTATATGAAGTTCAAATCAGGCAAAACCAATTTTTGCCAAGATACTTCAAAATAAAACTAAGGTGGGATGTCAACTGGGAAGGAGCAGAAGTGAGCTTTCTAGGATGCTGACAATATTATATATCTCGATCTGGTTAGAGGTTACATGTATTTATGCACATACAAAACTTCATCAAGATTTACACCTAGAATGTTGTACACTTTATTCCATATGAATTGTACTTCAGTAAAAATGTTTTAAAATGATAGCAATGAATCTCCAAATAGCAAGTTATAAAGTCATTGAGATTCTTCAACACAGGTCATTGAGATTCTTCAACACAGGTCACGTGAGAAGAGAATGAAATGTCACACATAATAATTAATAGATTAACATGAGATTTCTATCAGTCAGTTAAAAGAAAATGGGGCTATAAAATTTACATTGTTCAATAATTGGAAATAAATTCTTTGGGTGCTAAAAGTAATGTGCCACATCATCCTAGGATACATCCTAGTATTCATTTGTATAATAAATATTGTCACCTACAGTGGTTTCATCTCAGATAAAAAACTGTAATTATCTGATCTTCCTTTAAGGGATAAAACCAAACAAAAACAAAACTGTGGTATAATTTAAAACTAACTACCAATGAAACAGGTTGCTCTCCTTTCCTTGGTGATTTATAGACATTTCTGGTGATTCTAACTTGATAGCAAGATGAAAAGATAGAGATGTCTCTGTGTTTCTCAAAGTTTTCTTCAAAATAATGGCCCCATAAAATATTCTGGGAAAAAAAAAGTCTTGGCCAAATAAGATTAGGAAATGCTTCTTGGTTCATCCAAATATTGGGCATCCTAGTAGTTATTAAGCATAATTAATGGTCTAAGAAGTCTGACAATGGTGAAATTAGTGTTCTTAAATCCACTCCAACATGGAACCCGTTTCTCATAAAACCTGTTAATATCTTGTGGGAAATACATGCACTTTGAGAAGCAGTAACCTGGAGGAATGAGTAAATGAATGCATGTTGCATAGACCATCTTCAAATACCATAAACTGAACAGCACTCAGCTGAAGTTGAATTGTGATGATGTCCCTGAAAAAAGATATTCAGGGCTACTAACTGGAGGAAAAAACATACACTTTGGATATCAGATACACAGATGGCAAGGATAATATCTTACTTTGGAAACTGAGAAATTGATTTCCTCTCCCGAAGAGCCAACTTTACCATTTCTGCTTGCAAATGCGCCAAAAGTAGCTGCAAACAGGGTTATAATTTTCCCCTAAAACTCATGTTTGGTTCTGTTCAAATGAATGGTTGTTGCCCTTAAGCTCTGTACGTGTTTCATGTCAATCCAGAAAGGTAGCAGATATTACTGGATTACCAAACAGTCTTGGCAGAACCTCATTCTAAATGCACATAACTTTCCAAAGTTTCTGACAGAATGGGTTAGCTGTAGATTGCAAATGAAGACTGAGGATTCAAAAAACAGATACTAGGACCTTTCTCAATGTGGGGTCTTTTATTCAACACTGCAAAAAAAAAAAAATCACATTTCAAAAGGCAGTCATGCATTTTTGTTAAGAATAAGAGTGAACTATATTGTAGTTTTGATTTTGTTTCTAGTCGTCAGATAGAGCTGCTTTAAAAAACTTGAGAGAATAGAGATGAAAAAGAATATATTCAATATAAATTACCAGATAAGTGTTATCTACTTAATTAAGGTATGTCATATTTTTCGTTGATACCACCTCTTGGCCTTTAGAAAATAATTCAGAGTGACCTTTCTGCTTTTGAGTTATATTTCAGCCTTGAATAGAATCAGGTAGAAAATAATGATATGCAACAAAGATTCTAAAATGAGCAAATATGTATTGTAGGCATATTTTTCTCCTTAAAACTCTAACCCACTATTGGACTTTCTAGGTTTGGAAACCATGGACTGATACTGATTATTCATCAGCTTATTCTTGCTTGCAGGCAGATAACAACTTTGTAACATTTGATTACTTTGATGACCTTTTTCTTTCTTTTCCCATTGAGAATATGAATTATTGTGAAGAAAATCTAATCTTTCACTTAAAGGTCAAAAATGCTTCCTTTTGGCTGTAATTTATTTTCAACAAGGTGAAAGAACCATCATTCATCACTGAGACCATGACAAGTAGAATTGTCTTTTTTTAAACACCTACCAACTCACAACTGTGAACTGTTTTTGCAATTTTTACTTAGTGTCTATAGTTTCATTTAGATATTAAATGTAGTTTCCAACTCAGATGTCTCTGTAGTTATAAAAACTAATTCATATAACATTTTACTTTTTTTTTAAAACATGCCTATATGAAACATTATTGAGTAATGTGCTTTACTTTCATCCAATAACATTGTTTTTCTGTCTTTTTCTCCTTTGATTCTGCACCTTTGCCTGCTTTTTGCTCTTACAACTTCATGTTTCAGTCTCCTGTGAGTCCTGGCTTTGAGGTACGTACTAATACTACCTGGCAGTAAAAATTTGCTTCACTAACTTTTTGAAACCAGCATTTTAAGCTGACATCAGACAATTGTCTGTAGTGACTTTGTGAGAATAATCAGGTCAGAGTTTTGCTCCAAATTCAACCCATTGGCTCACAGAAAGCCCACAAATTTTCCTTGCTTTTGTCCTGTTATGTTTAGCTTTTTATAGTCCCAATAAGCCAAAGAGCAATGAATTTATTAGAGTAACAGAATTAGGTTTGTTAGGTCAAATTTTGACCTGTGATTGCTGGATTTCATAACGTTGGTGTTGTTTTAATGAAACTGAGCAGAGAGATTGAGAATAAAGAAGAATGCATCAGCCCTCACTTATGCAATACTATGTTAAACGAATCTCATGTATATTGGAACCATGTCCTGATCCTGAGTACCACAGAAGCGTGCCAAGTGAGGACACCATCCCAGTATGTACGCGTTTCAGTTGACAGGGTAAGGAGCAAACCAAGGACTGCCTAAAGATGGCTGTAAATGCTTGTTTACAGTTCCTGAACTTACCTTTTCAAGAACGGGTCTTTCATTCTTATGTGTTGTCACCATCTATTAATTATTTTCTAAAAATTGTATACAAATGGAAACGTCAGTCTCTCAATCCACACAGAAGTTATATATAAAAAAGACACAAATTTCCTTCAAAAAATGTTTTAATTAAACCCCACTCCAAAATTGGCCTTTTTTTTTCTATCTGAAGCAATTAATGATATGAACAGGGAAGAGAGGTATTTAGGTCAATTATTAAAGCAGAGCATACAACAATGCTCTTCTTGGGATAGTTTGTTTGGGTCAGTTGACTTGTGAATATTTAGTGTCTTTTATTTCTGTACCTTGGTCAATTGAGAATTGATATACTGTTATTTTACCTCATGAGAATATAAATTTCAAATATTATCATTAGTTCCCATTCTAAGATGGTCTCGTTAAGGTAACTTTAACAAAGGAAGCTATTGAAAACACAACCAGAACATTTTCTGGGTTAATTAAGATTGATGAGTCAATATTTCTGATTCGTAAGCTATAAGATGAAGAAATCTTCTTCAGTAATAGTAAATTCCTATTTTTGGAAAATCATTCTTATTCAAAAAGTGTCCTACTTAGAATAAGTCCAGTGTAAAAGCTAGGTGAGTGTAATTTTTTATAGTCTTATAAATTTGGTTTGTAATTTAAAATGCCTTCTAGACATAATTTTAAATGTGAATTAGTATCTTTCCCTTCAAATAATCCTTTGGGCATGAAGCCAAAGAAGGACGGGAAACATTTTTCACTTCCTTCTCCCACACTGCAGTTGGGAGCAGATTGCACAAAGGAGGACTGAAGAGCAGTCTGATTTTCTGTGCAAGTTGTATAAATTAAAAGCAACCAGGCCTTCACAGGCTAGCTCCTGATGGAAATAAGATGTGTTTTCGACATGAGCTATTTTTCTTGAACTTTGTTTACGTCTAGTTTGTCAAAAAGATAACAGACTTTTCTCTTTATAAATGTCTTGGAAGAAACTGATGCATAAAATTTGACCAAAATTTCTTCAGAGAAATGTTTTAGTGACAGTTGTGCAAGTAGCAGAATGGTTCTAGAAACCTGGTGATCGCTTCATGTTCAGCATGTCCTGGTCAGTTTACACTTTCAGGTCTGTAACCCTGAGGTGCACAAGTATTACAAAATAGATAAATTACCTGCCCTCATGGAGCTTGCATAGGTAAACCATGTACCAATGAGTAAATGTAATAAATGTCTTTGTATAAGCTTCCTGCTATTATGTTACAATGAAATATATTGATTTATGTAATCGATCTCTCCTCCTGTTTCCATTTTAAATTTGAAATAATGCAAAAAACAAGCATCTCTTATACAAATGTCTTTGTATAAGCTTCCTGCTATTATGTTACAAAGAAATATATTGATTTATGTAATCAATCTCTCTTCCTGTTTCCATTTTAAATTTTCAAAGTATTTGTAAAAGTATTGGTATATTCTGTGTAAACATTTATTTGGCCAGACTCAGTGGCTCAACGCCTGTAATCCTAGCACTTTAGGAGACCAAGGTGGGCAGATCACTTGAGGCCAGGAGTTTGAGACCAGCTTGGCCAACATGGCAAAATCCTGCCTCTCCAAAAAAAGAAAAATACAAAAAGTAGCCAGGTATGGCAGCATGCATCTGTAATCCTGGCTACTCAGGAGGCTGTGACATGAGAATTGCTTCAAGCCAGGAAGCAGAGGTTTCAGTGAGCCAAGATCATGCCACTTGAACTCCAACCTGGGCAATAGAGTGAGACTCTGTCTCAAAAATATAATAAAATTAAAAGTAAATATTTATTGAATGTGTTAGTAGATAACATTCTTAGAATCCAAATTGGTTATACTGCTTTTCTAAAAAAAAATAGTTCTTCAAAAAGTGTAAAAGTTTAAATTTTTAACTCTATGGACAAAAGCGTATGAGCTTCCATTTCCTTATACTCAACAACAGATGTTGTCAATATTTTAAAAGGCTTTCTGCCTTGCTAATTTAAAATATATTTTAAAAATCTGTGCCTAACTATATATTTCTTTATTGGAGAGAATAAAGACTTTTCATATAATTGTCCATTTGTGTTTCAGTTATGGCGAATTGCCTATTTTTCCATTGAGTTGCTTATTGGTTGCTTAGAGTCTTGATGTATTATGACTATCATCCTCTATTCACCTATGATAGAAGTGTATTTTCATTTTGTGTGTGTTTTTGATGTCTTTTCCCATATTGATTTTTTAACGTGGAAAAGACATATTTTGATTCATTCTCTTACCATATAGAGACTTAACCATATAGAGACATGTTGAAAATAAATCAACATGGCCAGATTAAAGATAACATTTTTGTCAAGTTATTGAGGAGAATGACCTTTTCTTGAGGTAAAGAGCTGAAGTCAAGGTATAAAATGAAGCAGAATTTAACATATTGGATTACCTTTGTGACCATAGGGTATAATTAATGACACAGCATTTTTTACATTATGGAAATTTTTAAAAAATTAAATAACTTTATTAAAGTCATCTTAAATGTTTTTAAATGTCTTTAAGGAAGCATCTACTAATTTTGCTTTGATGTTAAGAGGCTCTGCAGAAAACTTACTTTTCATGTATTTGAATGCTTCTAGCCTAATCTTTTTGGTTATTCTTAACATTCAGACTGCCTTACAGAATTATTAGGAAAAAATTGCTCATTCTAAAAGCTTTCTCTGTGTTTGTCCATTTATACCCTTTAATTTTATGAAATTTGGACAAAATTCAGTTTAACTTTTTATGTGAGGATGTATATTTTCTAAATAACAATTTGCCAGAAACTGCTATTATTTTCATAAAGGTTTACTGACTCACATGTAATTAAGACATGGATTGTACTAACGTAAGTTCTAGGCTGCATGCTTTCCTACAAAGTCTCCCCTCAAAAATGATTCATTTAGTTACTATTTTCATTTATTTTAAAGAAATGAAAGCAAGAGAATACCAGCATTGCATTATCTATTTATAATTAGATATGATCTAGATACATTTTATAATAGTCAAAGTAGTTTCTTTTTAAATAAGCAAATAATGGACAAAGCTATTTCTAAACTATGGTGATATTTACTGCCCAGATCCATATTTTCCAGGATATTTTTCAATGTACTAAAAGTCTGTTTAGAATTAGATACTTACTCTTGTGTTTTGGAATTCTGGGAATCCTGGTAATTTCTCTGAATTAAAGTCATTTTTCCATTTAAATATGCACCATGACACCTATGCAGTACATTTGCCAGATATTGCAAGTTTTTCTTTGATTATTGTATAAACTGGTTTTTTATATTCAAACCTGGGCAGTGTGTACTTTCAGTGAGGAAAGATGTCCAACAATTTTTTAACCGGAACTTGCCTGCTTCCTGAGGCTATGTGCAGTGGTGAGTTTCTGGGGAAAGTACCCTTCAGTAAAATTAGTAAGATTGTAAGGCCTGCTTTGAGTAACTGTGACCTGATTTCATTCCACGTCTGGCTTATCATATCCATAAATTAATTCATGCTCTGAACAAAACCTTGCAGATGTGTGATTGTAAATGTGAATACTACTATAGAGTTCTTCATGAACCCTCCTGGGAGAAAGTGGCATGGTATACCAGTTTCCCCACACTTACTAATAGGTCTTAAGAACAATTAGATTTTTTCTAAAGGCTCTGAAGGTCCTGTGCAACTCTCAGCAAGGTGCTGTGACCTCCATAACACTCCCGACAAGACACGAAACAGAGCCTTTCACTGTTAGCAATTACAGGCATTTACTTCATGGGGATCTGCATTCATCTAATGTTCCAGGCTGGGCCAGATTTAAGTCTCTTCTCCCTTAATTCCTGACTTCTCATAACTTCCTACCTGAGGAATATGAAAAAAAAAAGGGGCTGTAATCAGTGGCTCAGGCCTGTAATCCCAACACTTTGGGAGGCAGTGGCAGGAGTATCATCTCAAGACCAGCCTGGCCAACATGGTGAACCACACCCCCATCTCTATTAAAAACACAAAAATTAGCTGGGCATGGTTGTGTGTGCCTGTAATCCCAGCTACTCAGAAGTCTGAGGCAGAAGAATCACTTGAACCTGGGAGGAGAAGATTGTAGTGAGCAGAGATTGCAGCCATTGCACTTCAGCCTGAGCAACAGAGCAAAACCTCGTCTCGAAATAATAAATAAATAAATAAAATTATTTAAAAATATGTAAAAAAGGTTACTCATCTTCATTCAAGAGTTCGTATGTCTTCATGAATGAACCTATTACGTAGAAGAAACAATGAGAAGGAGAGAGGAGAGTGAAAGATTGGAATTGGTGCCATACATTAGACTTCTAGAAATTAGGAAAAATTCAGCTTCTAAAATACTTGTCTCTTTTCACAAATATTTAGATACATTATTTTACTCAACCCCTTAGATGTAGTTTTAATACTTGATTTAATCTAATGAGATG